AGTTACTATTGCTTTTTTTTAACTCTAAACTCAGTCCCATATGTCTACTTTATTATCACAAAAATCTATGACATACAAATGTGGTCTTAAAAATTAGCACACTGTCATATAGTGAACCTATTTCATAGCGCTAATTAGAGTTCATTCAATAGTGTGGTTCTAAAATTTTTAGAACACACTTGTAGTCTTGAGGGAACTTTTTACTAAAACTTTCAAATGAATTGGTCAAAATTATCTAGAAAACGATTCATGTTACTAAAAAGCAGCATTTGCTCTTCAACAAATATTTTTAATGAGAAAACAATATCTCGATTGTTTTGCAGTGATTTCTAATGAAACTTGAACTAAAAATAACTACGGCAGTGATCTTACGAATGAATAGTTAGACAAAAATATTTGTGTCAACATGTTTGAGATAGGACGATCACAAAATGAAAATAATATCTGAATCATAACTTCAGTATATGTAAATCAATGAAGGACGATTGGATGCTTGCGATCAGAATCTATTATCGTACACTAGCACTCAAAAAATCAGCTCAAACTTCATGGGAAGGATCTATTTCTGTTCAGGATTGTATATCATTTTAGTTTCTTCACAATCCATTTTTATTTTTTAAAATATCTAGGTGATTATGTTGATCGCGGAAAAATGTCACTTGAAACAATCATTATGCTTTTTTGTTATAAAATAAAATATGCTGAAAATTTCTTTTTATTACGTGGAAATCATGAATGTGCATCCATCAATCGTATATATGGTTTCTATGATGAAGTTAAACGACGTTATAATGTTAAATTATGGAAAACATTTACGGATTGTTTTAATTGTTTACCAATAGCAGCAATAATTGATGAAAAAATTTTTTGTTGTCATGGTGGTCTAAGTCCAGATTTACATTCATTTGAACAAATAAGACGTATAGCAAGACCAACTGATGTACCTGATACAGGATTACTTTGTGATCTTCTCTGGTCTGATCCAGATAAAGATGCAATAGAATGGGGTGAAAATGATCGTGGTGTATCATTTACATTTGGTGCAGAAGTTGTTACACGCTTTTTAACACGACATGATCTTGATCTTATTTGTCGAGGACATCAGGTTTGAATTTAAATGAATATAAAAAGAAAACAAAAGAAACACATTATTTTTATTGTTTTGAATGATTTTTAGGTTGTTGAAGATGGCTATGAGTTTTTTGCTAAACGTCAATTGGTAACAATTTTTTCTGCACCAAATTATTGTGGAGAATTCGATAATGCTGGTGGTGTTATGAGTGTCGATGAAAATTTAATGTGTTCATTTCAAATACTTCGACCATCAACTCAAAAGCCTATGCAAGAAACACAAACAAAAGGACCCATAACAAATACACCTTTTCCTAAATCAACATCGCCTATAAAAACATCTAACGTTAAAAAATAAGAAAAGCTTATCATATATGAGAACAAATAAATATGGAATTATATTGCTTATTACCGAATAGAATAATGTGTAGCGACGAAATTTTGATTATAAATCTATTTATAGAAATAAAAGAATATTGCAAGTTTTCAAACTTATCAAGTTTCTCTCAATCTAATTTATATATTTATTCGTTTGATAATCCTACCCTTGAGAATAAAGACATGAATAGTCGTAGAATTTATTGACAGAAGTAAAAATTCTTTGTAACGAACATCCTTCGGACTTTTCAAGAGGGTAAACAAATGAAATACGATCTATTGAACATCTTTGCGCCTCTGTAAACATCATGCCTTTGACTATGAAAATAAGTATCAGAGAACTATTAATACCATAAGATTTTGCATGTTTACATGAATGCTTTTGTATCGAACTAAGCAATCGAATATTGATTTTGTGTCTTGCTCAATGAATCAATATAGGCGCAACTATCGAGAGGCTCATCAATCGTATCATCAGCTGAATCGTGTTTATATGAAAGACAAGAAAAAAAGTTCTATTCACTATCGAATGATAGGTTTTAGAAATCGACTGACTCTATAAATTGTCGTAATTCATCTACAATAAAGTCAGCTACGAGTCATGAGAAACGAAGAAATCAATTGATTGAGTTGATTTCTTTATTCACTGATGATAATATCTAGTCATCACCACAAGAATGTCATCAGTATGTATGGTTCATAGGCTTCTCTTATAGTTTGTTTTAAACGAGTGACAAGCTTATCATTTTGTCAAGTTTCTATACTAAAAAAAAGGTGTATGCATAGAAAAAGCAAATCCATTAGTGTCCAATACAAAAAGGTTACTCTATAATTGAAAGTGATCATAGTTTATATTATTATTATGATACTGAGTGACACAGCACTGGATGTTTGCATATATTTGCTTACCATAGCAAATGCACAACCAACAACAAATACAGATATTTTCAAAAATAACAAACTTATAGTAAAATTTATTACTCCAAGGAAGAAATTGAGTGAACTATTAGATGACTTAGTATTGTTCATCAGTATGCATGATTAGCATAGTTTATATATTTCATGAAAAGATTTATATCAAATACCATGTTCTCAACTTATTTTATAGGCTTCTGTCTTCAAGCAATTTTTAAAAAGATTGCATTTATAATGTTAGCTTATTGTTACCAATGACACTTGTGACATAAGACTATATTTTATACACAACTATGTTTTCAGGCACGAATGATTCTCCAAACAATCAATTATGCACCCTTTGTGGTACATTGCATGATGTAAACTCTGATACATTTTACATAGCTGACACAGACGATCACCGTACAATGAGCTAGCTTAATGGTAATTCATTCGACATGATGGTTGCTAGTGGGACTCGATCAGAGACTAGTAACACATAGTTATTTAATCCCACCTGTGCTTATTTCAATTCAGTATCAAACAACTTTGTCGTTGTAAATTTCTATAATACTGTTCATTAGCCATCAAATACTACTCATTCGATACTCATTTATGGTCATATTAGTGGAACAAGTTGCTTTAAATTGAAAATACTTTGAAATTCTACAGAAGCTATATTAGATCACATTGGTGATATTTATATAATAGATTCATAGAACACTAGTTTCTCTCTTTTTTTTTTGGTCGATGAAACGAATGATATCACGATTGTTGGTCAAACAGTAATCATGTGTAATATCTCAGATTTGTCCACAATATTTGATATATCATTTCGTCTTCGAATATAAAATCAAAGCATTACCGATTCTATTACAAACCTTTCTATTATGGAACTTCTCTAATTTTTTCGTAATATTGTCATCTAAACTCTATTTATACTTTCCATCTACTTATTCTATTAGATTTTTTTTCAATACTTCTCATGAGCATATATAGATCGTTTCCATTAAGAATTCAGAAAATAGAACTTTCTTTTAATTTGAACTGAAACATATTTTATAACCTGATGCTTTTTATGTAACAAATATTTCATTCGAATCCATTTTAATTTCTTAAGATATTTCTACGTTTCGATATATATGTAAAAATTTGCGAAGTGTGCCAAGTCTAACTTTAAACTGAATGAGCTTCTAATGTCTTATTTTCTTGTCATAGCATCCATTGAGTTCAATCAGTCAAGAAAATAACCTTGAATGAGTAAAAAAAAGATTGATCGCTATCGTTCAAATTTTAATCAATCAATATCCATTCAAAACCTATTTCGATCACATTCGCAAAGTAGTTCACTAGATGTTAAATTGAAAATATAATGTATCTCAAGAATTCAACTAGATTGTTTTTGTGGTATTTCAATGCAACGACAGTTATCGTTCTCTGAACTATCTACTATTTGTTTATTCCTTCAATAACGAAAGTAATAACCAATAGCATAAAAATAAATCAATTCATAGTAAAGCTCAATAAATGATTTTATCAATTCAAATAGTTCTTTCACCTTTAAATCATTGAAAAGCAATTGAAAAGAAAGAAAACAAACAAATTTTGTTTTAAATAATACTAATAATGTATCACGATCGAACTAAATTTTAAATTCAATACTATTATTTGATAAACCATGTCCTAAAAGAAATAGTTATTTTATTCCAAAGAATTTTCCGATTAAATCAAAAAATAATAAAAAATAGAACCAAAATATATCATTGAAATCATTTCAATAGCAAAAATGCTATTTTTTTCGTTGTACAATACTTCTTTGTACTACGACGTCTGTATTCCTTATCTTCTTAATCGTTTTATGCATGGCACTCTGCTTTAGTATATATGTTTTATTTAGCAATAACGTCTTGATTGAGTCATCAATTTTTTACTTTTAAATTAAATATCACTCGTTACGCATAGACACACACTTTAACAAGAATAGTTTTTTGTGAATATTTTAGATCTTGTCTCTGTTCGTGTCCCAACATATAACTATGGTAAAAGCGTGTCTTTCATATCATTTATATACACAGGTAGATTCGATGTTCGTATTTTAGGATAGGAGCACATCAAATGATGTAAAAATTTTGTCATAAACTCTTTGCGCTAAGGCCCGACTGAGTGCAAAGTTTCAGATCGAAAATTAAAAATCAGTTTTCTCGGTGTTTTTGAGATCAATCGTGATAATGAATAAAAAAAAATACCATTTTATTGCAGTGTCTCCATAGCAATAACCTAAGGGCACGAACTCTTTAAAGAATATTCATAGCTTATTCGAGTCTACGTGATATATATATATAGTTCCGACTTAATGCGATTAATCACTTAGCACACTTCTTCTCTCGCTAGTTTGTCTTCATGGTGAATCACAAAATGTATCAACTTATTTCAAACAAACAATTGTGATGATTCAAAGACAAAAGAAATAAATAATAATTTATAACAGACCGATGAAGAAAGTTCTCTATAAATTTCAGAAGAAAATCTATCAAGTGACTGTTACATTAACATAAAATAATTTCATATACTTCTTTGTTTTTTAATTTATTTCTTTTCAATCAGTAAAATATTGATTCATAACGGCATAGTTTTATGTTTATCATTTTTGAACATAACTAAGGAATAAGTGTTACAGTTCCTTCACATATATCAGATGGGCCACTAACACCACCTTCATCGAACCACCAGAAACTAATATTCACATTTTGACCTTGAACAACACTAACAGTTTGTTTTATATAATCGGGTGAAGATGTTGCTTCTGAATAAAGATACGCTAAACCAGAATGTGCTGCACCTGGTGCAATAAATGCATAAGATGTTACTGAAAGATTCGTTGAAGGTATTACTGTCCATCCAGTTAAATTCGATTCAAAACCACCATTAATTATAAGTTCACCATTACCCTGTGTCATACTGACATCGTCAATATGCCAGTGATTAACTTGTTCTTGAAGTTTAAATCGAATCGTTAATTGAGTTGATACTGCTTGATAACAACACGTATAATGCTCATATGATGATGATGACTTGCTACAGTTATTTGTTCTACTCCAAGTTAACAACGGTGTTGGACATGTAATACCACCAGTTGTACATACAGAAGTTTGAGTGGTTGTTGCAACTGTCAAAGATATTTTATTTGTAATAGTTATAAGACCATTGAACATTACTTACTTGACGATAAAGTAGTTGTGTCTAGTTTAAAATAAATATTCATGAAAGACAAAAGAAAAAGAGAATGTTTGAGTTATATAAAACATTACCTGTGTTTATTGAATCTAAAGATTTAAGATTATGAAATATAAAAAAAACATAAAAAAATAGAATATAATTTTGCATACTTTGTGATCGACTAATTACATATACAAGTACACCAATAATACATCCAATGATTAAGAATGAAATAAGTATACACAAACTAAGTTTACATAGCGATAGATTACATTTCTTTTTCTTCTTTTTTTTTCGATTCCTATTCATGTTTCATGAAAACAAAATTTGCAAAAGATAAAATTTGAAATCTACCTTTCATCACTATTTATTATAAAATCATTTTTAAACAAATCTTCACTGTTAATAGGATTTATTTGATGATTACGACTTAAGAATCGATGAGTATTAGACATATCAAAATATGCTGTTGAATCAATAATTGAATTAATAGGAAGACAATCTTGAACAAGATTAGATAAATTCGATTGATTTTTTTCTTTTTTTGTTTCTATAGAATTTCGATTTGCTTGTATTTCAAGATTAATATTATTTTGTTCCCCATTGATGATCGTCTGACTCGTATTTAATGATAATGCTGAACGATGACGTATTGATCGATTAGAAAAACAAGTACTATTCGAACTTAATTGATGTATAACATTAGAATGACGTTTTTTCCAATGTCGCCGTTTTGATCGATTTGAATGAAGATGTTGTTTACTGTGTTGTCTTTCGGAATGCCAACGTTTTAAAGATTGCTTATGAGACATACGAACTACTGTTATGCGGGAAAAATCTCGATTCATGCTCATTATAGAATTCTTTATTGCAAAATTCAATTATAAGCAAATGTATGATAGAAAGTTGATATATAAATATGTTTTTGTTGACTAAAAAAAAAAAATTTTTGTTATAAAAACAAAAAATTCAATCAGAAACAAAAAAAATGAGACCTATATGGCATACAAATATATAATATATGCATCGATGTAATGAAGACAAAAAAAGTAGGGATACAGTCGTCATAAGTCAATCATGTGAATGGATGTAAAACAGAATTTCTGAGTGAGATCTGTTCTGATGAAAAAAGCAGTAATTTTTCGAAGGTAAAGAGTGTACGCTCTATCGCAAAATCCTTGGATGTATGTAATCTGAAATGAAGACAAAAAAATGCAAACATCTATAACTAACTTTATGTCCTTTGATTACACTTTGTACAATTTTTTATTATACAAATTTAATAAGAAATTCATATGACATTTTAAAAGCAATTAGAATAGAATAACAGGTCAACGCACTTTTGAATATCTATCATATTTTGTACGGACTGTAGACCTGTCTAAAATATGTTAAATTCAAAATTTATTTTGACTGTATTTCAATAAATGATTGCGAGTATTCGATTAAACGTACATTGCTGATATATACATATGTCTATCGGTATATTTATAATATATTGATTTATAATTAAACAAATGAGTTATACTTGTGACTAGATAACATTCACGAGGGATACTCGTGATTCTCTAGTGAGAATAGATGAAAGAAACAGGTCGATAGATAGCCATGAATATTCTATCATAATTTACAAAACTAACAAATACAACAAAAAAAAATATACAGAAACTTCGCCAATTGACAGATTTAAGATGTCGAATTATTTTCATCTATTTATTTCATTTTCTTAATCGATAAATTGGTTTGTAATTTTTCTTTCTTTGTATTTTTTACAGAAAAGCAATAGACACCAATGTGACAATTACTTTTCAAGAAAGAAAACAATTGTCAATCTCTTTTTAAACATAATGATTTGTCTGAATCGAGCTTAACACTGTACCAATAATATAATGACAAGTGTGTTAAACAAGAATACATAAAAAACTAGTTACAATAATAACATGAGATTGTTTGTACATCATCATCATCATCATCATCATCATCACATTGCCTCACTAAAGTTCATCAGTCTCGTCGAAAAATAAAATGGTTGAATAAATGTGAGCAAAAAAAATTGAGTAAGATTGTTCTTTTATTATCTATTATTTTAACATTCCTTTTTTATACGGACATTCGTCATGGATTACGCCATTATTCGGCCCCAAAACATACAACATGCACGAATCTTGTAGCTCATTAGAACAAAACTACTGAACATGATAGAAACAGAGCAAAAATCTCTCGTTTTCTTTCTCTTTTCGCTCATATAAAAAAAGCATACGAGAAAGAACAGGACTAACAACAATAAGAAGAGAGATGGAGAAAGATTTTTTTTTTCCTCTTTCGATGAGAAATAGAAAAAGAGAAAGAGATGTATGTGTATGTGTGCCTCTCTCCTCTCCCTCTCTCTCGTCTAATGTTGAACGCACATACATATAGACACACACATAGAAAAATTATCATTCTTCATCGTCACTTGTCTCAAAAGAGATACAGTTGAACTGATGGATCTCGAACTTCGTTGTCCATCATGCAAAGAATATTATCGTTCACCTGTTTATTTACCATGTACACATTCTCTTTGTTATACATGTGCGTTGACTTCAATTCAAACAACAAATGAACATCATCATAATCATTCTACACTTGATATATCATCAACATCTTTTGCATCGGATCTTGATAAACTTTCTTTAACAAGTGACAATGATTCTGGTGTTCTTGTAAATCGACATTCACCATCATCATCTAGTTCGTCATCATCATCATCATCATCGTCATCAATATCATCTTCCAGTCGTCCATCAAGTTTACTTTTACCACCAGCTTTACCTGAAATATCATCAACATCATCATCATCATTTTTACCAACAACACCTATTCGTCATCAAACAAATAAATCATATACAACGTGTTTACAATGCCCTATATGTTCAAAAATAATATTTATGGATATATCAGGTATAAAAAGTTTACCGAAAAATCGTCTTCTAGCTGATATTGTTAATCGTTATCTTGGAGAGAAATCTTCCGAACAAAAACAACAAGAACAAACACCAAAGTGTCAATTATGTCGACCTTCAGAAGAACGAACAATCACACGTATCTGTGAACAATGTCGAATCGGATATTGTGATCAATGTCGTGAACAATATCATCCAATGCGTGGTCCATATTCGAAACATAACTTTCTCGATGCATTACAACAATTTTCGAATAATTCGAATGAAAAAATCTTCTGTCATGAACATACAAATCGTTTAGCAACTAGTTACTGTGTTCATTGTCGATTGGAATGTTGTCAACAATGTTTGATACATTCAAATCATGATATTGTACCTATTCAACAAGCAGCTAAACTATATAAGGTAAATTGAAGATTCTCTGATTGCATGTCTAAACCGGAAGCCGTCCTTTCTTTCTTTCTTTCTTTTTTTTTCTTTTTTTTTAATCAACTCTCGTCTGTCTGTCCAGTTTAGTTCACTATAGTCCAGACAAAATGCTTATCACGCACAGGCATACGGTCAAGATCACATCCGTCTTCTTGCTTTCAAGAGAATGGTCAGTTAACCCTGAGGCGTCCTTCTCGCGTTTTTTTCTCTCTTTTTTTTATAACAAAAAAGAGAAGAATTAAATTCGAACGATGGACACATTTCCGATCCTCACGAGACAAAGACAAAAAACAGGAAATGTGCTGACTAATGTCTTTTGCTTTCTATAATATTCCAAATAGTTGAACATGTTGCCTCTTTTTCCCACTCGTATATATATATACTTGAGCGCATCTGTTGTCACTCGAGCGAGAAGACAAAAAAAAGAATTTGTTTCAACTGATGACCCTGAGAAAGACGAAGGCGTCGGCCTGAGTGCTCACGCGTGCGCATGTCATAAAGATCAATCGTACATACTATCAATACAATATTCAATCATAACAATTCATCTCATTGTTTTTATATTTTTTAAATGATGATAAATGATAATAAAGGCATATTGTTTTTAAAAATTAATGAAGCAAATCCGTAAACCGTTTTAAAACTTCCTTTGGGATTTACTTTTAAATAGTCTTTGAACTTTTCACCTGTTACATAACTTGGCATCATGAAAGACATTTGATTCAGTTTTCTTTTTCTTTTTTTTTTCTCTCGGGTATGTGCATGTGAGTATTCATCTAATCTGACCATTGTCCCTAGTCTGTCATCATCTCATTTCATATTTTTTCATTATTAATGAGGAAAAAAAAACGGAAAAAGAATAACTCTACTTCTCTTTTTTCAATTAGCGATGCAAACAATGGGAAAGAGACCGGATGACCACTCTCGCTCGAGCGGCAAGATTCTTTTTGATGACCGTATATATGCGTGTATGTGCTATCTAAACTATTATTATTCCAGCACGAGGTGAAGTGTCGTTTTTTTTTCTTTTTCTCTCTTTTGTTATAATACAAACTTCTAGTTTTTTGTTCCGCTTGTCTTCCCAAGAAACATTACTATGTAAATTGAAAAAGTAGTATGATGCAATCGACGGAAATGTATGTGTATGCATAAATCACTTTCTTTTTTTTTCGAATTTATAATGTGATTCGGTGACACCTTCTCGTTTTTCTTTTTTTATTCTATCTATTATCAATCAATTTTTAATATTATTAACTCAAAAAAAAAAAAAATACAAACTTTAATGTCTGTCCTTGTGTCTAGACTCAATTGTCATCACAACTACAATGCTTATCGGAAAAAGCTAAATATGGTGCTGAATTTCTGGCCAAATTGAAGCTATATCCAGACTATATCAAGGTAATTTACTTCTGATAAGATTGGATCATTCTTCTTTATACGATCGAACAACTAGAAGAAAAAGAAAGTCGAAGACAGCTAGCAGGAGGTTAACATAGATAGAGATAATCAAGGCAGATGGTCAATTGTCTAGTCACTTATTATTGAAGGTCATATTTAGTTCATATATTTATTTTATCATTCGATTAAATAAATTGATCCAACTGAGAAACATATAAATATTCCAAATCACCTGGTACTGTTCTGATTTTAATAGTATAAGAAAAATAAATCTGATCTCATTTTTTCCGTTTGGGAATGGCTAATGACTATTAGTCGTATGCTTCATTAGATCCATCATTCAAACAAAATAACCTTGTTAGAAGAATCTCGTTTTTTTTTCTCTCTCATCTCTATGCCTCTCAAGAGATGTGCATGTCGGTTGTAAATACATGCAAGGATAAGAAGCTAAAGTAACGTAACAACATCATCATATTTCTCCTGATAAAATCATTTCAATGATGAAGACGATTGAATGAACAAATCCATCAAACAATAAAAAAAAACTACTCTCATGAGAATGATTTAAGTATTTCTTTTTCTTTTTCTTATAGAAAAATGGTGAAATATTTGAAAAAAATCTAATCAAAGATATTGATAATCTTATCGTAACACTTGAAAATAAAAAACAAGAACTATTAATATATATACATAAAGAAATTGAAAGAAAAATTTCTTTAATACATCAACAATATTCAACATATAATGCACATATACAAAGAACAACAGGTTTTTTACAATTTTCAATTGAAGCATTAAAAGAATCCGATCCATATGCTTATCTTCAAGTTTGTTATTTTCTTTGAAATATTATTGAAATTTTTTTATGAATATAAAACATATTTTCTTTTAGGTATGTCATGGTTTAAATAGTAAATGTTCATCAATATATGGAAGTTTTTCGGATGAATATGAATGTAAAGCACATACATCATATGAGTTTGATTTTACATTTAATACTGAATGTCTTCATCGAGAAATTCATCGTTTACAATTTCAACAAATAAAACGTAAGATAAAAACAAAACATAAAAAAATCTATTTATTTATATATAAACAAATCATCCGAACTAATATTGTCTAATCAATTTATATTTGATAAAAGAATTTTCTCGATTGAGCTTCTGTTTTATACAAAGAAACAATTAGCATGTTCTATCTATATTTACCCAGACACAACGTTCATCTAAACACTAGAAATATAAAGTTACAACAGACATCTTTGCGGTACATTAATGTTCATATAACCTATTTTTTTTTTTGATCAAGAAAGAAACTTTTCTTCTTTTTTTTTTGATATACGAGACAATGTATAAACAAAGAAAAGAAACAATATAATACATCTGCAAATACTCTCGTCCTTGTTTTAAGTTACATCATATAAATAATTTGCAGATTTTGTTTATTTTAAAATTGAAATAAGGAAAAAAAATATTATTGATTGTTTAATGACTGTGATGAATTATTTATAGATTAATGAAGACATTGACACATGTTTTATGTTAATTTGAGCTTGAAAAGAGATTTCCGGATAATATTCTATTGATTGTCTCGTTCTTATTCTTACATATGTCTTATATTTATCAATATGATCAGTATTGACCTTGATTTCTTTTCTTCTTTTTATAAATAAATACGAAAAAAAAAAAAGATTTTATCATTTAACGGAAATACTTATTCTTTTTTGATATGATGTTAAGAGATTTCTCATGGTAACTGCAATGTACGGATTTCCTTGCATGCCTTTCAAGGCTTTTTTTTTCCCTGATGAGAGAATAAAAGAGTTCTATTAACAATAAATGAACAATGCTTTTAATATGTGTCTTAATCGAATGAGCTAATATTGACGTTGTATTACGTAAATTGATGTTCTTCATTTCTTCTTTTTTTTTTTTAGCACCCTTATCTCCTCGTTTTATTGCCGAACAATGTCTATGTCATGATGAACAATCGGGTACAATATCTGGAACACTTGCATGGTCTATGCGTGACGTTGGAGCTATACAAGGTTTTATTCTTGAATTAGATGATGGAACATTTGCATCAGACTTTCGGGTAGAGAAAAAGAGGAAGAAAGAAAAACATTTTTTGAATAAATAATGTTTTTTTTTCTACAGGAAGTATATGATGGTACTGAAACAATGTGTGCAGTTGATGGCCTTCTTCCATCCAATGTCTATACAGCTCGAGTAAAAGCTTACAATCAAGCAGGTGAAAGTGCCTATAGCGAATGTATAACGCTTCATTCATCTTCCGGTATATAAACAAATCAAACAGGATATTCATATTTTTTTTGTTTTGGGGTTTCTTTATTCTTGCTATAGTTTATTGGTTTACATTTAATCCTCGAACAGCACATCCGGATATACAGTTTTTATCAAATTCATCATCATTAACAAATGACCATCATTATAATTTTGATTCTATAACATGTCTTAGTTCACAAGAACGTGTTGCACTTGGTTCAAGAGGTTTTCGTAAAGGTATACATTATTGGGAAATAACTATACAACGTTATGATGATAAACCTGATCCAGCATTTGGTATTGCCCGTTTTGATGTTTTAAAAGAACATATGCTTGGTAAAAATTATTTAATAAAAACAATAAAACTTTTTTTTTCTATTTTAAAATATATTTTTAAGGTAAAGATTCAAAATCATGGTGTATGTATATTGATTCTCAACGTTCATGGTTTATGCATAATGGACAACATACAAATCGTATTAATGGTGGTATAACTGTTGGTTCAGTAATTGGAGTTTTATTAGATTTAAATAATGGTACATTAAGTTTTTATATTAATGATGAACCACATGGTCCAATAGCATTTTCAAATTTAACACAAGGTGATGTTTATTATCCAGCTGTTAGCTTAAATAAAAATGTTCAATTAACACTTGTCTCAGGACTTGATCCTCCAACACAAATACATCATGAATTGTAGTTATATAGATATGAAATTTCTGTTCTTTTTCTTTTTCGTTTTTTTTTTCATTCGTTGTTTCGTCTTGTGCTTGTTTTATGTATAAGTAAACTTGTATACAGATGAAAAAAAAGGAAAATAAATTAAATTATTATTAATTCAAAATTGAATTACATTTGTAAAGTTTCTGCTTTTATAAAATCAAATGACTTTCATCTTTGAAATTTTTTTGATTGATTCAAAATAGAATAGAGACGTCATTTAATGGATAGTCATGCATATACGTATGTGTATGTATTTTTTTTCTGTTTGAACTTATATTTTATGGCGTTCGTTATTTTTATGAGCTAGTCAATTGTGTTTGTTCACTCCTTTTTCTTTTTGTTTCTTTTCTTTAGTTTTTTTTCATTGATTGATAACGATAGTTGTTATTCATTTTTGACCTATACAAACACATATTTCTGTCACGCGTTCGACACGGATGAAAAAAGAAACGACTTTAAATCGATCGGGTCAACCATTAAACGCCCCGTTTGAAGACAAGAAATGATGATGTATGACTATATGATTACGCCCTACGGTCTGTCTACTTGTCGGCGACGTTTATAAATATAAAAAAAGAAGTCCAAGAATTCGAACTAAACCAAAGTATTTACTTAATATAAAGTAATAAGAATGTGATAACAATATATATATATATATATATGTGAGTGTGACATCAAATATTGACATGTAACTTATCGATTTGTCGTCATCAGTGATAATTTCTAATGTGAAACAGCTCTACACGATGAGAATCAGCTGCACATCACTTATAGTAGTGTCTCATATGTTATCGATTGTATAAATAAGATAGAATTGGAATGTGCACGAAAAAAAAAACTAATAATTGATCTCTATCATGACATGTCAATCTTCATTTATTGTGATGATTGAATTTTTTTTTTTGATTATTTATATTAGAAAAAAATCCTTGACTTTTCATTCTTGAAAATCTATCAGGGTGTGTCCGGAACTAAACGAGCAATCGAATTGCTGTCAACGTCAAGTTCAGTTCAATTTGTCACACAATGAAATAAATGAATATTCTTCGTTCTTTTTTCTTAAATCATTAGTCTGAAAACAGATCATCATATTCATTCTGTTCAATCAATATCTAAATGTGTTCATCTATAACTATACATCCTAATCATAGGATGAACGAAACACTTTTGATTATGATTGACAGTGCATGACCTTAACCGAGCACACACGTTTAACGTCAAAAACAATAGCCTTTCTATAAATAGCTGTTTCTATTTCCCAAGAGTACAATAAATAAATGGTCATAATAGCACGTGGACTAACATTAACAATGAGAGTAAATGATGACAGATCCACTCTAATCAACTACTGACTACTCTAGTGACATATCAATCAAGGACAAACATAGAAATTGAAGTGTCTGTCAGGCAAATGATGGTACTAATCATTAGCTTGTTTTATATTTAATGCTAAAAAGTCAGAAGGTGATGATGTGAAATGAAAAAAAAAGTAAAAAAAATAAGATTTTTATTGGAAGAAAATGATCAATTTTCATAAAGACACCAGTTCATGCTGCTGCCATAGACAATCAATCGTGTAAAGAGTAGCTTGAGGCGAAGTCGACGACAAGACGTACCTTTTTTTTTTTCAATTCAATTTTCAATCATTTCTCTTTTTTTTGAGTTATTATAAAAAAAATCGTAGTAGTTACAAGAAAAATAGAGGACGAAAAATTGATGGCTTTGGAAGAATCCATAACAACACGTACACATCATCGTTCAATACCACCGATCTATTTATCATATTCTAACCAAACTGGTTTTATTGAACGATATTTTGTTGTTAAACTTTATCAACAACTCGTAGAAAGTGGTTTAGGAGAAGGTGTAATATGGTTTGATCATAATCTAGGAATACATCCTGATAAAGTAAATATTTACTTTTGATTTTGAGTTTTTTTTTTTGTTGAATTGTTTTTTATTTTGGTAAATAGTCGGCTACTTGGTTTGCTGATCGTCTTGAAGCAATCGATTTATCACTTGGTAGCATTTTGATATTATCTAATGCATGTCAACATCAACGTTTGATGGCAATTGAATCAAAAGCTATTATTGATAGAAAATTATTAACAGGTACAACAACCGTTTATGGTTTATTTGTTATTTTATTAGATGAATGTCATGATGTTACATATTTACGTTCACGAGCAGATTTTTTTCATGCTTTTAATAAAACAGAATCGATGTTAGAAGTTGGAGAACGTATATCAGTCATTTTAAAACAATTATTAATAAAGTTATTACCATATAAACAATTTGCTTCTATTCAAAATAATTTAACAATACATGAACAGAAAATTGATGAAGAAGAACCTAAACAATTATGCTCTTGGACATCGAAAGATATTCAATCATTTCTAACTCGTATTGGTGTTCAACAATCAAGTCGAGATTTATTTGCTGAAAAACAAATCGATGGTTATTTATTATTAGCATGTACTGAAAATGAGTTAAAAGATTATTTTCAAATGAATAATCGTAAAGTTCGACAAATATTAATTGAACATGTTATACGTAAGTAAATTATTTTTGTTTTCATTTGTTTGTTTATAATATTTTTTGCTTTGTTTTCTTCTTAGAAACAATTCATCGTGAACGACAAAGTCGACCTCAATGGCATTATGAAGCTAAAAAAACCAAAGGAAAAAGTGATCATGTCTATTTAATTTATGATCCTGAAGATCATTCAATAGCTAATGAAATTTCAAATTTTTTAAAAGATAAAAAATTTCGAGTGAATTAATTCTATTGATTATTTTATTTCATATAAATAATTTTTTTTTTTCATTGTTTTAAGGTATTCACACATAATTCTCGATATGGAAAAAACAAACATGAATTTTTAGCTTTAAATGGACCTGTTATGGCTCGAACAAAAGATGTTATTTTTTTATTAACAGGAAAATCATGTCGTTCAACATTTACATTTCATGAATTAACATTAGCTGAATGGTTCGAAAAACCAATTGTTACAGTTTATGTAGAACATGTTTGGACAAATATGAGATCGTCAATTCGTGCTTTACTTGGTATAAATATATTTTTCTTTTGTCTCATTGAAATAAATCAATTATTTGCTTCTTTTTCTTTTTTTGTATTTATAAACTAGCTGATTATCCATCAGTTGATTTTATGCATCAAACATTAAATGAAAGTCTTACAATTTTACATGCATATCTTCGTCCACAAATGCTTTCATCAGAAGAACCTGATGAATACATTCAAAAACTTAAACAAACAGTTCGACCATTAGCAAGTATAGCAACATCTAATAGTAATTTAAAACCAAAACTATCTTCTCAAGTGAATGAAAGTAAAATAAGGAAAAATTCTTTGATGAAAAACAAAACCAAAACTAAGATATTTTTATTTCTTTTTCTTTTGTCTAGATGATTCGGGAAATGTACGTTTTGTTTATTTAAGTTATTCAAAAACAACTGAAAAATGGAATGTTATTCATGCTATTGAACGACTTATATTCGTGCTTGAAACAAATCATTTTCATACTGGAGTTCAAATGACAAATGTTACTAATAATAGTAGTCGAGAAAGTGATCTGTAAGTTTTTTTCAAATCAAAAAATTGAATAAATTTCATCTTGTGAAATCTGTTCTTGATATCGATCATATAATATGTATTTCATAAAAAACGACTTTGTCCTCTTTCTAAATTTATTTTGAAATTAACCTCTACGCAATTATTCACAAAGATATCTAAAAATATTTTCTGTCAATATTTACTTCGAAACCCTATTGTATCATTATTGAGAAAGTGCTATATGTTGATGATGTGAAAGCAGAAAACAAAAAAAGTCATTCAGAATTAATAGAATCAGAAGCACTCTATTTGATAGAGTTTACTTTTAATTACAATGCAGTACATTCTTTGTATTTGTTACAATCATAAAATTTCGAGAACTTATACAATCTATATTTTGATGTACGAAGGAAAACTTTTTGGTTTAAATCAAGATCTTATCAAAAATTTTGTTTCTTCAAAGGAATTTAATTCAAAATATAGAAGATAAAGGGTTATCTATGAATAGTGTGTATTAAAATTTTAATGTTCATTGTTTCATTATGCGAGTGTTTTAAATATGAGAAACAGTCTTGGAATTTAAGGATCCAATTACGAGTCATCTGAAGTTTATTAGAAAATCTATAGAATCACTATTGTTTTAAAGGCAAGAAAATCGTCTTCTCTTTTTTTCGAATGCATTTAAATTCAACAGAATAGCTTTGATTTAACAGTAGTCTAAGGCCTCCACTCACCGAGAATCGATCTTGGGCTATACGCATACAGAGTGCATAAAATTTTTAGCTCTATATCATCAAGTTGTGGGGAACTATTCAACACATAATGATCAAAATAAGCTCATTTGAAAACTCCGAATTCTCTGTGAGCACCCCTTTTGTAGATTTTATTTTATTTTTATTTCGAAACGAGTGTCAGACTGCAGTAATCTTTTTTTTTTAATCCTTGCTTTTTATGCGAAGAAAAAAGGATGACAAGCTGAATACCTCAAAACACTCACAAAAAGAGTCATCTGTTTATAGAAATATTTGTTTTTTATATAATAATAAAAAAGCTTAATTGAAAAAATGAACTTTACCAAGCATTTCAGCTTCACATATTCTTTCAAACAAATAAAAGAAATTGCCTCAAATGACGGTCCTACGAGAAATCTTGGATGTACGATCAGAAAAGTATAAACAGTGAAAAAGATTTGCTGCATTGTCTAAAAGAGAATGCATATTCTTCAAACAAAATATAACGGAACTTTTCAAAAGAAAACGAAATGCCAAATATAAAATTAATGTGTTGATAAAGGATTTAGCTTTGGGCTGTCTTTTCATGTATGTATCTTTTGTTTCCAAAAGGAAGCCAGGCTTTCCTCGATCGTTTATTTGTCTGTTTCTGAGTAAAACATAAATAAGAAGCTAAATTTCTTGAATAAGGTTTTTTTTTGTTTTTAGAATCATCTCCAAAAAAAACAAAAATATTGATTTCGAATTTATTCATTTTATTTCTAGTCATCATCTACCAAAAATTCAATCGAAATCTTCCTCTATCAATCCAAATGATTCTTATCTTCATGGTTTTAATCCATCAATAACAACAGTAACATCAACTGATACTCGTCGTATAATAGGTCCAGGTGATATTCGTCATTGTCGTGTTATGATTGTTTGTTTGACACCAAAATATTTTCTTAATGAACATTGTTTAAATGAATTACGATTATGTGAAATATATCAAAAGCCAATTCTTGTTGTTCTATTACGACATATGAAATATTATCATTCAAATAATATATTAAATACAAATATGAGTCTTGATGAACAAATAAATACGTTTATACCATCAAAATTACCAATGACAACATTAAATTTTTTACGTAAAAATATTCGTTCATCATGTATTGATTTAACAACAAATGAATTATTTTCAAGAAATGTTCCAATTTTATTACGAAGATTAGAAACAATGCTCGGAAAACATCGAAATCAAATGGATGGAACAGCACATTCTGTAAATCCAAATAATTTTAGTCAAACAAGTGAAGTTTTTTGAAAGAAAAAACTTAATCAAAAAAAGAAAATAATAAAATTTTATTTTATTTTTCCTTTTTTACTTGATGAATACATTTTATTTTTTATGTGCATTCGAACGATAGATGACACCAGAAATTGTTTTAAATTTATACTTTATATATAAAAAACAATAATAAAATTTTGATGTTTCTTTTCAATGAAATTAATATTTTTCTTTGAAAAAGAATTTCTCTTGTAATTAAAAGAAAATTATTTAAAATAAAGTTCTACATATTATTCCTATGGCTACAAGTAACCAATCATATTAATAGAACTTGCCACGCTATAATCAATTCACTTGGTCACCGCTCCGTTAAACATAGATTGTTAATATACACTACACGAGAGAGATTCATCGATATTTCTTTTAATATATCTATGTTCTTTCAACTTTGTAGATGATGGATCAATCAATTACTGATCATTCTCAAACTGGACCTTCTCCAATGTTTAATTACATTCCTCCTTCAGTACCTCCTGTATCTACACTAAATCAACAACAACCACAATCACAAACATTCATAACACCACAACATTCATCAAATGTTCAATATCCTCCAACAGCTCCCAACTCATCAGATGGTGATACATCAGCAACAAATTTTAATGCTCAACAACAACAGCAAATGGCAGCTATGATGCAAATGCATCAACCATGGGCTGCTGGTGGTGGTTTTCCTTCACCTTATATGATGCCATATCCACCTGGAATGATGATGATGCCACCACAAGCTGGTTCAGATCGACCAGGATCACGTCAATCATCTCGTCCACCATCTCGACAAAATGCTACAGCTTCAGTATCATCATCAAGATCATTAGTAAATGGTCAAACAGGTGGTCAAACACCAGCAGTATCTGGACAAGGAATGTTACCAATGCAAGGCTATCCTGGATTTATGCCACCAGGAATGTATAATCCATGGTTTGATCCATATTGGCAATCAATGTATGCTGGTTATGCAAATCCATATAGTTTCGGATATACAGATGAAATGGTGAAATATTGGAGACAAATGTCACAAACAGATGATGATAGATATAGTCATCATTCAGCTGCATATTCACAATCGAAACAATCACAACACAGTTCATCCATGCAAACATGGGGGTCGGTTGATTCACTCAATGATCCGTATTAGTAAGTTATTTTCCTAAAATTTTATCTTTCAAACTTATATATATATATATATTTGTCCCTCTTTGATTTTAGTCAAAATCATAATGCTTTTTTTAATGGATATCCAACTAACAAGCCATCAGTTCCAAATCAAGCTAAACGACCAACAAAAACGACTACAGATCCAAATACACTTTTAACCACTGCAACTATTCCAAATCAACAAATAACATCAGTTGAATCAAAAACAAAAACAATTCCGGCACAAGAAAATGGTGAAAACGAAGAAGGAGATGAAGATGAAGATGAAGATGATGACGACGATGATGATGATGATGAAAATGAAGAAGATTCGGATGATGCAAGTAGTGATCGTTTTAGTATCAAATCTGATTTAGCACAAGTTAATGAAGAATTTTCAAAAGCACGACGAACACCACTGTTATTTATTCGACCACATTTACGAGCTAAATTTGCTTTTGATCAACTTATTCAAGTCTTACCACAATCACCGAGTGATACAAATCAACCGGCAACTGTAGAAATTATATCTGCAAATGTAAATTTTTTTTTCATTAATAAATTCATAAAATACAAAACAACTCATAATCCTATTTATTTAGAGTTTACATTCAATGGCACCATCGTTAGTCGAAGAACGACAATTAATGTCTGATTTTATTGGTCCTTTAACTGCGTAAGAAATATTTCTTTGAATAAAAGAAAAGAACATCGTTTTTTTTTTTTTTGGGAATTGTTTAGATCAACAGCAAAATCAAATGTTATTCGATATTGCGAACGTCAATCACAATTAGCTAATAAATCCATTCATATTATTGATCGTGATGCTTTATCGATAATTTGGCAATATATGGCATTACTTGTTAAAAATAATGGGGTAATATAATATATATTAAATTAAACATTTGTTTTCAAAAACACTTATTTTTATTTTTTATTAGGTTATTGATGTTCGTGTTGACATTCCAAAAATTCTTTGGTCATCAAATAATACATCGACTATTGAAGAATCATCATCACATAATAATAATACATCATTATCATCAGCAACATTAGAAAATTCATTAAGAGAATTTCTTGCACTTGGTGAAATTGATACAAGTATTAAATTTGCTTGTGAAAATCAATTTTATACTCATGCACTGATTATTTCATATTTAACCGATAAACAATTATTTGAAAAAACAATACATAAGTAAGTAGTAAAGAATGCAGAATACATTAGACTGTTTGTATTTTTAATTTCTTTTCTTTATCCTTCATTTGATTGATATATTGTTTTTATTTTTAAATCAAAATATAGCACTAAAAATTCTCCATTAAAATGACACTATTTATTTAACATATATTCCATTCTTTTTTGATGAAACGCTTTATTAATGTTATTTTCGTGGTTGTATACCTTCAAATCATAGTTTTAGTCAGTTCATTTTATAAACTTTGATCTAACATATTTAAATTATGTAGAGCTACTGACTAATGATTCATCAGTATCAATGTACAAAAATAGTCTATACATCATTTTTTTCACTTAGGTAATACATTCAAATCTTGAAAACATCTCATTAACATTAAGTTTGCCAAATTAGCTCGCACTTTTAGTATAGATTAGTCACGGTAGACTCTTTAACCTTCTGCTATGGAAAATAGCCAAAATCTTCTTATGATATCAACGACACGCACTTAGTTTCAATACGTAGTTTCCTTGGAAAGTAGATATCATTATACCTGTGAGATATTCACTTTTGTTCGAATTATGCATGAATAACAGAAACAGTGTAATAAATCGATAAAGTCAGTGTTGTTAAACACTTTTATCCATAATTTAATAGTTTTTTTAATGATACCATTAAGGTCAATGCTTAATAAATTTTCGTCGAATCCATCACTATTGTCATATTAATTTTTAACAGCTGTTTATACGTCTTAATTTTTAACCTTTTTTTTGGAAATATATCTAAAACAGTTTTTAGTTCTCATTATACATGCTTTTGTAGGGAAATTGTAAGTGCCATGTTTCGACAAATAAGATGTTTCAATTAAACTGGAAATATTCAAAATACAAACAGTCTAATTTATTCTGCACCACCTGTTAGATGAGAAAAAAGATTTCTAAATTTTCTTTTTTTTTTTCTTTAAAGTATTATATCAAATCTTGATAATGGCGACGTATTGAAAACATTTTATGAATTAGGAGCTGGTTCAACACCATCTGTTGTTACTGTAAGTTTAATTATTTAAATTATCTTTTGTTTTTTTTTGATAATAAATATAAATTAAAGAATGTTACCAAAGCACATTATGGTGATTGGAAACGCCATTTAGCCGTTATGTTAGCTAATCGTACGGATACAAATGCACAATTTGTTGATCTTTGTATTAAAACAATGGGCGATACATTTAGTAAATGATTTTATATTTTTTATTAATTTTAAAAAATTTTTTTTTTACATTTTTCAAGTAACATCTGGTCGTATATATGCTGGTCATTTTTGTTATTTAATTGCTAATGTTCCATTTGGTTCATATCGAAATAATGCCGATAAAATAGCTGTTATTGGCAGTATTCATGCAGGGTAAAAATAATATAATTTTAATCAAAGATAAATCAATAATTATTGTTTTGTTATTTTTCTTGCAGTCAATCAAATCTTTCATTTGCAACAATTCCAAATTTACAATTAACTGAAATTTATGAATATGCATTAAGAAAATGTTTAACAACATTTATTGTAAGAATTTTATCATGATTTCAATACAGAAAAATTACAAAAAATTAAACATCTTTTATTTTTTAGCCATTGAAAATATATTATACATCAAAATTAGTTCTACATGGTTTGAAAAGAGAAGCATTAGCTTATTGTGAAGAAATTGGACAAACACTTATTCGACAAGGAAATACTTCATATATTCAATTAGTTGATTTACAATTATTTATACTTGTAATATTATAATTAAAATCTAATAGAAATATTCACTATATAGTGTTTTATTCATTAAAGATTGCAGAAAAATCCCGAGCTTTCAATCGAAATTTTCAACTTGATCCGATGTCGTATAAAGAACCAACATGGTTAATTGAATTAAGACGTACTATTCAAAGTTTAATTGTAAGTCTTATCTTTAATAATAATAATAATAATAATAATTCTTACTTTTGATTCTTTCAAGGATAATGCATTCTTAAATAAAACAGTACGTGATGATTCATTGAATTCATCTATACAACAAATCAATCGAGAAGAGAATAAATTACAACAACAAACAAATCTTTCGACTCGTAAGTTTAATTTAACAAAAAAAAGAAAACAAAAAATTTCTTTTTTTTTTTTGAAATAGATACAGATAGACAAACATCAAATAGCAAGCGAAAAACTGAACATATAAAAACTACTGTACCTTCATCATCTGCAACTTTTCCACCTGTAACAAATACAAATGTAAATCTGATATTCAAAGTTTTATTTAATATTATATTCTTAAAATCTTTAGGGTTTAAATGGTCATGATCTATCAAATCAAGCTACAACTGAACAAATACCTTATTCTAATCCAGCTTCAACAAATTATCAAAATACTCTTTCAGGTACACAATTAATTTATACTATCGATGAGACTTGAAGATTTTTCTATTTATTTTTTATCTTTCGAGTTTTCAATGTGCATAATAAATTTTCATGATGGAAATTCTCCAACTAATAAATCGTTATTGAGTCAAGATTATATGCACTATATACACTCAAATGAGCTATGAATATTCTGAAAAGAGTTTGCACCCTTAACTAATTACTGTGGAGATATTGGAATTTTACGGTATTTTTCAAAATGAATCTCATAGTAACAGAAAAACTGGGTTTCGAGTTTTGCTGTGAGACACGCCGTAACGAGTGTAGTTTTTTATTTTATCAAAGTTTGAAATCTCGCCACTGTTTCTTTTCTAAGATACAACTATGATAAAAGCGTGTCTTTTATGTTGCCCATATAAACCAACGGATTTGATGTTCTTATTTTAGGATAGAAGCAAATCAAAAAGTCTAAAACTATTCTCTTTAAGATGTCTCTTTACGCAAAGTTACAAGTCGGAATTCAAAAATCAGAGTTTTCGTTACCATGGCATACATTTACTAAATACTGTAAAAGTGCAGCATCTCCACAGCAATAAGCTAATAAGACGAACTCTTTTCATAGCTTATTAGGGTCTACATAATGTATATCGCCGCGACTCAAAAGCAATGTATCAGCTAGAGACCTTTCCTCGTCAGTTCAATATGAACGAATACCATGTTTTGTTTGTCGACAAAGTGTTCGTTCTATGAAAAATATATTTACTACATGTACTAGTCTAATACATGAATAGACATTTTTCTGGCATCAATGTTAAACACATTTTATCTATTTTCATATATAAAGGATATAGATATAAAAATTGAATATTTTCTAGTTGATACAAATGTTCATTATACATCACAAGTTCCAACAAATTATTATCAACCAACATCACAGCAACAATACTATTCGTCTGATTCTCAACAAACAGAAATAAATAATTATTCACAACAATGGCCTCAATCACAGCAGCAACAACAAGCAATTCCAACTCAATCGGATATTCTAAATTCAACAACACAAATTCCTTCGACAAATAATTCATTTTATCAACCTCCAATGGATCAATCACCATATATTCAACCAGGTTTTACGAGTACACCAAATTCTTATTCATCTCAACAACAACAACAACAACAACAACAACAGCAACAATGGTATCCATCTGGACAAATTGAACAACGCGAACGTTTACCATCAAATGAGGTATGTATCAAATATATAATAATATAAATAGTAAATATAAAAGATGAAAAATAATATTCAAAAACTCAAAAAAATAAAAATCTTGTCTAATCCAAATAAATCTCATAGCAACAACAGTTGGAATCAGTGAGACGTCGTTCATCGATTATAACATTTAATCAAACAGATGATGTATTACCATCAAATCGACCATTACAATCGACAATAGATAATAGAAAAACATCTTCGACATCGACTCAATCAAATACTAGTAGTCATAGCCAGAAAACTCATTCCGATACGGCTAATTTTCCTTATCAACCACCACAATTAATGCGTTATGCAACGGTATAAATCTATCTTTGTATCAACTATCACTTTTATATGTCTAACTAATGCTTTTTTTGTGTCACGTTCTAACAGAACACATTTACTATTGGACTTGATTATTATTTTGTGTCTTTATATTGCTTTGTATTTCTTTTGAAACAAATTATTTTGTGAATATTTTTATATTTTTATAATTATATTTATATAGAATCAAACATCATCAATTACTGAAGAACCACAACAACCACAGCATGCAAGTACACAAGTTAAAAAGAAACATGCTATTTTTGATGATAGTGATGATGTTTTCCCTGTAAGAAAACTTTTTAATTTTAAAATAGAATTCTATTTTATTTTGTTCCTATTTAGAATAATCAACAAAACTCATCAGATAATAAATCAAATAAAACTACATCAGCAACAGCACATCAAACAGCTCAAAGTGGGCAAAAAACTGGTATAGTTGGAAGTCTTTTTAATCGTCTCGGTTGGAAACGACCAACACAAGCGCATTTACCTGATGATAAAAAGAAAACAGTAAGAAAAAAAAGTTCAATATTTTATCTTTATTAAATATTTATTAGCTCCAATATGACCAACAGACAGGTCGTTGGATTGATACATCAAAATCAGCTGATGAACAAGCATCAACACAAATTCAACCACCTCCAATGATATCATCAAACAAAACATCATCTTCATTTGTAACTAATCCGCCACAACAACAGCCGCAACAACCATCATCGTCATCAACATATAATCCATCAATACCATCTGGACCTTCTCATTCATCTCAACCTCGAACATTAAGTTTCGCTGCTGGATCAACTACAACAACCACCAGTACGGCAGCACCTCAGACTACAACTGCAGCTTGGCCTCCACAATCAAATACTAATGCCGCACCTACAACCACTCAACCACCGCAACAACAACAACAACAACAACAAAAGCCTCCTGCACAACTATCAGCTGCTCAACAACGTCTTCAAGCACTCAAACAGCAACAACAACAAACGGCTATGCAACAGGCTCAAGCTCCGCCAGCTACTTCATCTAATCAATATTCTCTTAGAAGTCGTCGTAAGTTATCAAATAAAAATGTATTAAAACCAAAAAGACTTCATCAAATATTTATATTTTTTTTTTAGAAAATCAATCCCGTTATGTTGATGTTCTTGCTTCAAAAGGTGCTGTTGCACCAAGTCCTAATGTTTCACTCAATGATCTTATACCAACACCGTCAACAGGTATGCCAACTTTGGCATCATCAAACCAACCAAATAATTACTTCGTACCAGGTTAGTCGTTTGTTCTTCTTGCTTCTTTTTTTCTTGCTTGTTGTTTGATAATAATATAGCTATATTACAATTAATTGCATTGACTTGACTGCACTGCTTTAGAAACCCATCTAGCAAACGATTCAACTGATGCAGAAGTTTCATGGATCAATTCTCATGTAACATAGTTAAAAAAAACTAACACGCATGTTTTCTTAGGCACCTAACCCTATTCATTGGATACGAGTTATTCTTTGTCTTTTTCAAAATATAATCTTGAATAAATTCTTATGGATTAATATTTAGGTCCCTCACAATCGACACCTGACAGTCATGAACAATCATCATTTTCATCTTGATCAAAAACATTAAAATAATTGTGTACTGCGAAAGAAATTCATTAAATTTTGAAGATTTTTATATGTTTATGGTGATGGTTATGGTTTTAGAATGAGATCTTCTGCTCCTTCTTTCTCTCTCTCTATTTTATTCGTTCTTTGTTCTTTTTTCTTCTTTTCGTTGTTATACTTGTTTTGGGTGGTTGCCAAATGCACACACATTCTATTTCTTTCTTTCTTTCTCGTTATAATTATTTCTATATATTTTTCTCTTAGCTGCTTATTTATTTGCATTCATATAACTTGTGAAGAGGAGCTTGATGCGCACATTGATCGTTATTGTTCTTCTCCACCGAATCTTGTTTTTTTTCTATTGTAAATGTATACGTGCGCATCTTATTAAAATTGTTTTGTTTCTTTTGGACGCCAGTTGTAAACATGTATGTGATAGATCAGAATATGGAGACTGCAGACGTTATCGAAACATGTAATTGTATCAAAAAAAAATTCATTGCAAGAAAATTTGCATCGATTGAACACATATTTTAAGTTCTAAACTATTACTATTCAAAAAAAACGATCGAATATTTTTATGTCATTCAGTTATATTCAATGATCAAATGAAGATAAAACAAAAGTAATAAACGACTGTTTGTAAATCGGAAATTTTTGTTCTTTGATTGAGTCATTTTCTTTGGATTTGTTTTAAGTGAAAATCTATTATGACATGATGTTTAACAGGTGTATTTCTCAAAAAGTATAGTTTCTAACTAGAGTATGTTTACATAAAAATTTATTTTTTGAAAAAAGTCCATGAAAATGAATCCATAGTAGTTGAAGTCTTACGATTAACGATCATGCACTAAAAACTCAATATTGAGTGATTTGGTATTTGAAGTATATATATATTTAGCTAGTACTTAAATGTACTAAATCAAAGCTGTTTCTTTTCTCTAGCGAATGGTATTTAGGAGTATGACATGCACTTGTTTTTTCTCTTTCTCTTTTACATGATATGGTTCGTTTTCAGGTACAATATGAGCACACCCATGACAAAACTCTGTCAGTATTGAGCTGTGAAAGCAAATATCTACTTGGAATTATATATTATTTGATAGACTTTTCAACGTTTCATAGAACCTAGTCTATTAAAAGTCTCAAGTAAATCATCAGCATCAAGAATGACGATTTTATTTAATGTAACCTACGATGCAAAGGTAACTACCGAAATGTCAAACTCTGTTGGACCGCACTGCTAACTTCTAAACTAACGAATTTTTTTTTGTTGTTGGAAAGAGCAATGTCTGAACTACAAATTTTATAGCACATAAATTTTTGTAGAAGGGATCTGAGAAGAGATAAAAGTCCAAAACCAAATATCACCAAAAAAGTTCTTGCAATTTAAGTATGCAGCAAAATCATTTTCTAATTTCTGTGAATGTTATTATAGTAGAAGAGCATGAAAGAAACACATCCACTGATGATCTTTGTAGTATAAAAAGTGTTCTTTCCAATGGTGTACTGCAAGTTAAATCTCATCTTGATTTTTATACGAAAATATTGTTCTTTCTAAAGAGACTGAATAATTTTCTCGTGCTCGTTACTTGGCTGCTTAGCAATAGTATGCAATATATTTGAATTTGCTTTTCCCATTGAGCGTCTATGATCTGACGTATGACGAACAAATAACCCAAAAGAAAATAAACTTGTGCATATTTCTGGAGATAGTGACTGTTCTCTTGCAAACTGACAGTTCTTGCAAAAGACTCTGTTTTTTAAAACTTTTATTTTTCAAATTCATTCATGAAAGAGCCAACAGCATATATGAAATTTTTCTACGGCAGCCACTATCGATAGAGTTTTTAATGGGCTACATGTTGGTGTACTTTTTTGTTCGAATTTGGCATAGGTAGCTCAAAATAATTGAGAAACACACAGTTTTCACGTTGCAAAAAAGTTGCAAGAACTTTTGCGGCGGTGTTTGATTTTGGGCTTTTATCTCTTTTTAGATCCATTCCATAAAAATTTGTGCGCTACGAAATTTGTAGTTCAGACATTACTCTTTCCAACAAAAAGAACTTCCGTTGGTTTAGAAGTTAGCAATGCGGTCTGATAGAGTTTGACATTTCGGCAATTACTTTTGCACCGTAGGTTATTCAATATCTCATCATTCAGGTCGTCCTTCATTGAATCAAAATATCTCATTATTTTTTTCCATTTTGTTCGGCGAGTAAAAGAGAACTTTAATGACAGAAGTCGATACACTTTTACGTATTACCAGTATGGCTTGTCGCTTTGCAACACATTGCACTCATACAATCTATAGAACTTTCATCAGTGGCGGTCATGATTGCGATCGTGATCATCGTGACCGGAAACAAAAAATAATGACCATGCTAATATCGAATCAAAATGTCAGTTTAACTGCGAAAAGTCACTGTAAAGTTTTTAAATACCTAGGAAAATCCAAAGCAATAGATGACTAAATAATGGCTACCGAAGGATTTTGTGACACATATAAATTGATCCAGCTTTTTATGCTGATATCAAATATAATTTGTACTGATAGAAAACTAAAATGTCTTACCCACACGTTAGTATCAATACAATAGTATAATTTTGTAGAGCTTTGAAAAGTCTATCAAATGATACATAATTCAAAGTTAGTCGCTGCTTTTACGGCTCAATGTAGAGCTACTTTCAACATAAACATTGCATTTCTTAGCCGTACAGGAGGTTGATGATATAGGGTTTTGAGTCAGCGGCGTACAGCCGAAGTGAAGTCTAACGGTTTAATTTGACCGAAAATGAGCTTCTGCCATCTGAATTGACTATTGGAAAACAAGACACTCCTTTTTGAGAGGATCCCGATTTTATCTCTTAACAACCGCCTCTCCCTCTAGATGAAGAGTTTTACCTGGTAATATTTCAGACGAAACCATTGCAAATGGTTACAAAACAATCGTCAAGCGACCTTTGCTTGATCTGTTGAGATAATGACATTGATTTCATGAAATATCTTTTGGATGTTTGCACCGTTGAACAAATTAATAAAGTTGAAATGACAGATCATTGTGCGGCATTACATGTTGCCATTAGACTTCTGCAAAATGGTCACGGTGACGGCCTCTCGTGATCGTGACTAGTTTTCGCTAAATTGCCGTGACTGGGATCGTGATCGTGACCAAATAGCTCGTGATCGTGACTTAATGGTGAAAAATTTTGAGATTAGAAAACTAATTTTTGTGAAAAGAAATCAAGATTTTCATTGATTTACGTGTTTTCTGCGTTTTATTACAGAGGAAATCTGCGAAATCAATATAAATCTTGATTTTGTAACACAAAAATCCAGCTAGCAACCCAAAATTTCCGGGACCGTGACTAGTTTCGAAAAAGTTCCGTGACTATGACCGTGATCGTGACCAGGCAGCTCGTGACCGTGACGTGACGTGACTGAAAAATCGTGGTCACGCAGAAGTCTAGGTGCCATATATTATAGATATACGTAATTAATAAAATTATTACTAAACAAAAGTGTTTGTCGAACAATATAAAATACATTCAAACGAATACCGTACAATGAAACTAAAACTGTTGAAATTGAGAGACTATTTATTCGCTTAACAGCAGATAGTGCGAGTCGTTGCATTAGAGGAAGCCAGCAAACAGTTCTAATAGAATAGATAAAAAGCTGTCTCTAAAATTGAAGAAGTAACAGTTGGAAAATCTTGTAGTTATTATTCTTGGGACGAAGAAACAAGTATTGGTCATTTTGTAACATTAATACAACAGTTCTATTTAAATAAACAGCTTCGCAACATACGAGTCATAGATGCGATACGATGGTTTTTCGAAGAACTGGAACAAGAAAACAATGTGATATATCTGCTAAAAAGCAAATACAGTTCAAAAAGATTATTACTATAAAATTTCGAATGCATCACTCGATCTTAGAGATGAGTTTGAAGAGAAGTTTCGTAACAGTAGCTATGAAGGATAGTACTACATTATAAATATTCTGTCCACTTATCGCAGGCCTAATTTTTTGGTATTCACTAGTGATAGCTATTAAAGAATGCGAATCACACCAGATGATTTGAGTCAATATTCAGTTGGTCATGACCTTATGAATAAATCATTTTTAAGTCAGTGTTCCTATTTTACTACAATACACTCAGCAGACTGTTTTGATTCTTTCTACATATAATCATGGTATAACTGAGTCTACCCATCTACATCAAAAGACTGTCGAGTAACAGAAGCATTCAGTGATTCATATAGAAACAATGGCGATCATTTTTCAATGATTTTATGTTTACAATGTCAGATGTAATTGTTCGACTCTCGTCCTCAAAACAATATCAGAATTTCGTACCGTAGAAATCACAGTTTAAAGAAAGACATATTATTCAATGACTTGACAAAATAAACGTAGAAAAGTTTGAGAACATATTAAAAAAAGCTGCTGTCCTCTTAAAATCTTCATTATAAAGCTAAAGTGAATACTATTCGTTTTCCTTTCAAAATAATTATTGAATGTGTAAGGGTAACTTCAGTCATTTCAATATCTGTATGTCGTAACATTTGAAATCAGTTTGAAAGTCCATGATCCTAATTCATCCATTATTAAAGTTTTCTAATAATCCTTATTGATCATAATAATTTTAATTTTCGAAGATTATGATATATAATTGTGTTAGTTAATTGAACATTAGTTAAAACTTGATTCTTGTTTATGTATCACGTCATTGATATTTTATGAAAATAAGAATCTTTTACAAATTTTACTTCATCAACCCTTGAATTTCCTCGGCTCTTTTTATCTTATATAGAATCAATTAATTGAATGAAATTTTGTATTTGAGTCAATGATATTGACCAAGAGAGTTATTCTCATATTGTTCTTCGTTTTTTTTTACTCTTTATCTTATAATGAATTCGATTCAAGTTTATAAACTGAAAAAAATATTTATCTTCTTTATCAGTCATATGCAATTATTGAGATTTGAAATATTCTTCAACGAGAACTATTTGTTTTGCAATAGAATGTAAGACTCAATGACCTTCGTTTGAAGGATAAAATCATTGATTTCATGACAATCTGAAACTCAATCACGTTTGGATTTACGTCAATTAAATATAATTCATTGGTATACAAAATCGTATACACACTATTTGCAAATTATGTAATAGAATACAGAGATCCCCCTAGTATAATATTATATTCTTAAGACTACAAAGTTAGAACTAAAACTTCAACTTATAAATAAGACTAGTTTAAACTATTATATAGAGTCTGATATATTGATTCGTTTGATTTAACACTAGACAGATTAAATATTCAAACTTAGTAGGTAAAATTTTTATTATGATAATATTAGCGGAACCAAAAAAATACCAGAATTTTCTTTCACAAAAAATACTTCTAAATAACAGAAATCAAGGACGAATATGCGTAGACAAATCAACACATGTCAGTAGATTTCAGCAGTTTTAATATAAGATTAATAAGGATAAAAAAAAAATAGTTAATTTTCTCTATATTCATATACAATCACAAAAGAAAAAACATTGCTAAGAAGTATGTTTTGTAGTGCATATAAAACCTAGCGGACAGTAAGTAAAAAAAACCAAACACACACACTCATCGAAAATTGATCATCGTATTACAAGGTACGACTATTCATTGTTCAAACAAATCATTGAAGTAGAATCAATCGAAGTATTTCTGTTTTGATACTTGTGCAAAGTAACCTGAGATGAGAAGATGGGTTTAAATATGAAAAAATATGAAGCAAAAAAATAGATAAAAAGAAAGCAATGACAGCAAGAAGCTTAACCAATTTATGTGAAAAACCTATATCTCTATATATATTAGGTTTTTCTTCTCTAATCTTGTGTGAGTCGACGACTTCGTTCAAGTAATTCATCATCATCAACATGTCCATCGGAATAACGACAAGAAGAATAATACTTATGGCATGGTTGAGCACTCTAAAACACAGATATGTTTTTTTTTTGAAATTTTCATTAAATAAAAAGACGAAGGATTTTTCTTACATAAGAATCAAGATTACGACGAAGAGTATGAAGAATCTTGTCACTTAGTTCACCTGCTGGCGATTGTCGATGACGATAACGAAATGGATCTCGAAGTAATGTGGCACTCGTTAAATAAGGCGATACACTACTGGAGTAAACAGCTGATAAATAGACAAAAAATAAAATATTAATATAAAATGAATCAGTTTAAATTGATGATAGTTATGAGAACAGGATGATACAAAAAATTAAATAGAAATTTACCCGGTGAATATATTTTATGTTTTGAAGTTGCCGCAAAATTTTGCTAGAAAAAGAAAGCAAAATTAGTTCTTCATTTTTATCTTACTCGGTGCAACTCTTTTTTTTTGTTTAATTTCTAACCTGCTCTAAAGATCTTGCTCTTCGACTTCGTTCACTATGAGTACGATGTAATCGACATATAGCACAATCTATAGTCGAATGAAATTCTAGATATTTTTCTAATAGAAGTAAAATGGAAAAAAAATTAAAAGATGATTTACCACCATCTGTATAGGGAGAATCACAATCATTACAGCAAGATGTTGTTCTTGGATGTAACCTAGAACGTTGATCAGGTGTTCGTGAACGTCCTCGACGTTCAAAATCAACAGACTGAGATATTCTTCTTGAACAACGAGATGGTGATGTTGACCGAGCTCGTGCTCGTCTTGAACCCCTTCTACGACGATTAGCTGGAGAAACCGATCGAGAACAATTACAACCATCATTTAATGAATACAATGACATGAAACTATTATCACGAGAGAATGAATAATCATTAACAACTAAACCATCATCAAGGACAATATGAGATAGAGGTTTACGACCAACTAAATCCTCGTTGACCTATGAGAAAACAACAGTTAATTGTTATTGAATCGATTCTAATGAATAAACTTACATGTCGTATGACAAATGGTTCTCGTCCGAGTGTTTTATCGAGCGGAACAACCGGTCTAACTCTTCCTGGTACAGCTAATTCTTGTAATTTTTCTTTGGTTTGAGGTTGTGAATAATCACCTTTTACTGCTGATGATATTGTTTGTGATGTTACTGAACTTGATACATAAGCCGAATCGTTCAACGAAGGTCTATCCCATCATGTATATATATATATTTATTAAAATATAAATAATAAAATAAAAAAAAGATATTACCGAACTGGATATGTCGATGCTGGTTTCCATGTTACTGATTTTGATCTTTTCGGCTAGAAACGAATGTAAAAAGTTCTTTATTTTTAAGAAGTAATAAAAAGATATCTTACGCGTTTTTCACATGAATCAAAAGGTTCTATATATTTATGAGTTTTAATACTCTTTGCTATCCCAGTTATATCATCAACAGATGCATTCACAGTAAATTCCAAAGAAGGAGTAATTCCTGGAAAGTCAATTGTACGATTAAGAATAATATAACGATTTAAACCCGTATATTGTACTCGATCATGTGAATATGGATAAAGAAAATCTTTTGCACTTCTTTCATAACTTGCTAAAATAACTGGTGTTGGAACATTAGTTTGAAGTAATTCAAACAGAACATGTTCACCTATTTAAATTTAATTTTTTATCAATATAAAAAGTATTTTTTGATATACTTACGTGCAAGTCGTTGAATAATATCTCGTGGATTGTAACATGATTTAAAAATCTAGATAGAAAATTATTACTTCTATGGAATCATTCAATATTGACACATACTTTATCGAAATAAAATTTTTCATGAATATGCATTGGAAAATAAGGTGGCATTAAATGTGTACGTTTATGTATACCCAATAAACAAATATTGATATAAATATCACCTTTTGTTGTTAATTGAGTACCAGGTGCATCAACTACATTAACATTCAATGCAACAGAATACTTGTAAGTTTTTTTTGACGTTGGCATTGTTAGTTTTTTAGATTTTTTCTTTTGGTTTTTTTGTATAAAAAATATAATCTATCAAGAAATACTTATTTTGAAATATGAATGATTTATTATAACCGCAAAACAATTATATGTGAATGACCATTAGTCAATATCGATGTATATATGTCACGATGACAACCGTTTTTAGTATCTTTTAGTAAATTAAAAAATTTATCAAATGATTAAGATATATTATTATTCTTATAATTAGTGTTTTTTTTACGAAATTTAGATTAACAAAACAATCTTGAATGTAGCGACCTCTTTTCATAAAATAGAAAATAAAAACAACAGCATTAATAATATTGATTCTCGCTTGCAAAGAAATCTATCAATCTAATTAAATTGATTCTTCGATCATAAAGTCCATACTTTAATTTAAAATACTTAATTAATTAAAATTGAAATAAATAGAAAAAAAAAACTCTTTTCATTCATTCGTTAATACTTTTGTTTATTTTCACCTCCTCATTACTCTCCATGAGTCAAAGCAAAAGAGTTTTATTAGTCATCCATATTCTTCTCATTCTCATGTACTCCTTCATATATAAATACAAGTCTACATACATATAGATTCATTTGATATTGTTCTGTTCATTATAACAGTAGTTCTTTATAATTAACTGAATAAGAAAAATGTCATCTATCTCTATTCTAGATAAAATTTCAATAAGAAAAAGAAAAAAAAAGAATGACAGACGACAAGAAAGATTCATCTAAAGAGCTTGATTTATGGATTGAACAATTACAAGAATGTAAACAATTACAAGAGAATCATGTTAAATTTCTTTGTGATCGTGCTAAAGATATACTTTCAAAAGAATCGAATGTACAAGAAGTTCACTGTCCTGTAACGGTATGCGGTGATGTACATGTAAGAAGAATAATATATTCTACAACACTCCCGTTGATTTCAATATTTTGACTTCTTTTTTTCTTCTAGGGACAATTTCATGATTTAATGGAATTATTTAAAATTGGTGGTAATGCACCAGATACAAATTATTTATTTATGGGTGATTATGTTGATCGTGGATATTATTCAGTTGAAACAGTCACATTACTTGTTGCACTCAAAGTTCGATATAAAGATCGAATAACAATTCTTCGTGGTAATCATGAATCCCGACAAATTACTCAAGTTTATGGATTTTATGATGAATGTCTAAGAAAATATGGCAATGCTAATGTTTGGAAATATTTTACTGATTTATTTGATTATCTTCCATTGACAGCAATTGTTGATAATCAAATTTTTTGTTTACATGGTGGTCTTAGTCCATCAATTGATACATTAGATCATGTTCGAGCTTTAGATCGAATTCAAGAAGTACCACATGAAGGACCTATGTGTGATTTACTTTGGTGAGTAGTAATTGTTGGTTGTAATAAAGGAATTCTATTGTATTTATTTAGGTCGGATCCTGATGATCGAGGTGGTTGGGGTATTTCACCACGTGGTGCTGGTTATACATTTGGACAAGATATTTCCGAAACCTTCAACCATACCAATGGTTTACAATTAGTTTCTCGAGCTCATCAACTTGTTATGGAAGGTCAATAGAATTATCTTATCTTTTCTATTAGATTTTATATTTGATATGCTTTTAGGATACAATTGGTGTCATGATAAAAATGTAGTAACAATATTTTCTGCACCTAATTACTGTTATCGTTGTGGAAATCAAGCAGCAATAATGGAATTAGACGATTCATTGAAGTATTCATTTCTTCAATTCGATCCAGCACCTAGACGAGGTGAACCACATGTAACACGAAAAACGCCAGACTATTTTCTTTAATTTATTGTTTTCTTTCTTTTTTCTTTCTTACTTTTTTTTGTGTTCATATAGCACAAGAATACAACTCCCCATTTTTTTTTCCCAAAATCATTGTACACATACCTGTTGTCATTCATCGTTTTCTTTGTGAAATCTATTCTTCTCTTCTTTCCAAGATATTGTTAGCACTATTGAACAAAAAAGAAAAGCGGAAATTTTTTAGGTAAAGAAACTACTTTTTATAATGATCATTATTTCTGTTTATCTTTTTTTGTTTCTTATTCGATCGATGATTATGCATTTTGAATGCTATTTTCTTCGTCTTTTATTGATTGTGATCAATCGTTATGTGTGTGTGTGTAATTGGTTTTATCATTTGTCATTTGTCATTTTTCTCTCTTTTCATCTCGCTAGCTGTCAAAAAAAGTGACAAATTTATTTCTAATCTGTGACTTGCATTCGTTGCTATGCATATTTTTTATATGTGTAGTTTTTCGATTGTTTGTTGAATGACAGTATCAGTGGGTTTTTTTTCTTTGTTTGTTCGTTTTTGATTTTTTGTTTTCATTTTTATTCTTACGCATTCATCTAATACTTTGTTTTTCTGAAAATTTATGAACTCATCTTCGTACGGATGAATATAAATAAAAAAAAAGAAAAGAAATAAATGATAATTAAATAACTGAGAAGAATGAAAACATGAGTATGTGTCGGATATAAGAAAATAATAATAATTTGTTTTTGATTTATAGATTTTATTTTCTTTTGTTAAAAGCTTTGAAATTCAAAAAAATTACACAGATAAACAATCAAAAAACGACCCTTTTCGAGACAGACAATAGATGTTAGCATAAATGAGTATTATGATGAGCGTGGAGTCAAGATTATAATTAAAGTCAATCTTTGATATGATTATCATTTTTTAAAGCTGGTCTGGTTGTTATTAAACCAAAATAATTATTATGAACATCATTAAAATAAAATAAAATGTAAATAAAGTTGTAAACTGATACACACATTGGCACTAGTAGCTAAGATATTCGAACTAATTTTGAAAGTTTAAAAACCAAAAACAAGTAGAAAAATATATGACAAACGATCATAATGCAAAAAAAAACATTATTACACCAACAATAACAGAACCTACTTTTGATAATGATAGTTATTAATATTTTGAGACAAATTAACTGGGTCGGATAGACTTCTTGATCATGAAAGAGGATAGAAGATTTTTTTTCTTTGAAAAATAACATTTTTTGTAGTTTTTCTCAGATTTCATGGTGAACTTCTTGCTTGTCAGAACTTTTGTTCTTTCTTTTTTCAACAGTAATCAAAAGCTGTATAAAAGGTCGGTCCATGTATCTCTATGATGATGATATTCACAGTAGGATTGTTTTCTATAGATATAGAGAAATTCATTAGAGTAATGTCTTTTTTTGTCGATAACATATTCGGACAAGATATTTGAGAAGTTTTCAATCATATTAATGATCTTCAACTAGTTTCTTGATCTCATCAACTTCTCATGAAAGTTAAGTAGAAATCTTTGTTATTCTCGCCATTACATTTTATATTTAATGTATGTTTTAGAGTACGATTGATGTCATGATAAAAATGTATTGACTATGTTTTCCTCGCCTAATTAGTGCTATCATGGTAAAAATCAAACGATAATAATTGAATTGGATCATTCATTGAAAACTTCATTTCTTCAATTTGATTCAGTACTACATGATGATAAAATTCAAGTAATATGTAAGATATTTGACTTCAGTTCTTTTGAAATTTCTCTCTTATATGTAATGTATGCTTGTTGATTAATAACTGGCTTCATGAATGCAAATAATAACGGAAAAAAAAAATATCTTTTCCAGAATATTACTTTATTTTGTTGTTTCTTTAAAAAAAATGTACAGAATACAGAAAAACAAAAGCAAAATAGATATATCTAAATCTTTTGTTGTGTTTATTAAACTAAGTACGATTTGTGTTTTTTTTTTGTGGTGGAATTAATTTCAACTAACTGATGATGAAGAATGATGAAATTGATTTGATTCATACATACTGTCATCAAATGGTTTCATAGCATTAGGTAGTATAAAACCTGACGTTTGTAGTGTTTGTCGAGATAATCGATTGAAATGATGACGTCTAGAATTTGCTGGTGATAAAATAAGTTTTGACATTTGAGAAAGGAATGAACGCTGTTTAGGTAGAAGTGCTTTTTTGTTTTGAATAGAACTGCTCTCTTTCAATGAGGATGAACTATGAGAAAGATTATGATGGTTTTTAAATGCTGAAGAAAGCTCTTTATAATTATCAGAAAGATCCTAAATATAAAAAAAGCATGATAATACAATTTTATATACAAAAGAAAATATTTCATTTTATCATACTTGAATAGAAGCAACAAGATGAAATCGATGATGACTTTGATATGTTACTTTGTTTTCGCCCTTAGATTTTCGATAACTCTTACGTGTCCATTTCCAGTATTGAAAAAATGCTGTCCAATCTTGACTCGATGCCAATTGCATATCATATTGAAAATTATCTCTATAATGTATTCGTGCTTGATCAATATAAGATTCAAGTGTTTCTTGTATTACTGTTCCATATACATTATCAAGTATATCATTTAAATTCGTTGCATATCGACATGGTACATGACATTCTAAATTCCATTCAATAACAAGACCTTCTTGTGTTAGACCAATAAGCATATCATATGCATGTTGGCGAATCAAATGAAAATGTTGACAAACAAAACTATATGGCACTGGACCGCGTACAAGACGAATACAATTATTATTATTTTTATTGTCATAATAGAGTGTGACACGTTTTATTAATTGATCAATATTTGATTTTTGAGTTGAATGAAGATAGATTTCTGGTTGATTTTCTTGTTGTTCAACAGATGTTGCAATAATAGAATAACGACCAGATTGATCCATTTTTATAAAAACATTATAACCATCTTCATCAAGACATTCAAGATAATCGTTTTGGATTTGACGGTCATCCCTAGATAATACTGATGAACGATGAATGCGTTGAGCTCGAAAAATAGCTCCTTGTGGATATTTTTTGCTTGACCAATTTAGATTATTTGAATCTTGAAAAAAAACTAAAGCACGATCGCGAGACATAAATACAATAGAATGTTTAAATTTCGATGCAAAAGCAACTAATTCTTCTAGATTTTTATATATTCGACCACAACGTTGACCACGAAGAATAAATTCAAATATTCCTTTAATAAAACAGAAATTAAAGAAAAATATTTATTTATTTTTTTTTTGACATGTATGGTATAAAATTACCTCTGAAGAAATCCGGCAAAATAAAAGTACACTGATGAGGATAAACTTCAAATTGATCAGGTTCATCCTCGCGTCGTCGAAGTGGTGTTAATAATAGTTTATTTGAAAAATTTCGATGAAAAAAAAATATTGTTTGATTATTATTATTTGTTGCTTGTTGATCACTATTACTATCAACAAATGAAATAAGTAACGGTAATTGATTCGCTGTACGTTTCAGAATATGTTTTAATGAACTATAAATATCACTCCATGTACATTGGGATATAATCTCTTCTCGAAGACGTGCTTCTTCACTGGAACCAATAATTTTGCTCATTTTTTATCTTCTTTTCTATTTTTCGTAGTTCTTTTACGTAGACATTCGGCCTTGTAACATTATCAAGAAGCATGCCCGTCTTTCTTACTCCACGCATGATCGAACGACAGGTAACAGCGTTTCGCTTAATCACGTTGTGTTGAAAAAAAATAAGAACACAAAAAGTCAGGAAATATTTGTTGGCAATAAAAGTGACTTGTGAAATGTGTCGCATATCAATATTACGTTAGAACAAAAAAAACGACATATACGTAAAATATATAAATATAACCGATACCATAATTTGTTTGCTCAAGGAAAAGGTAATAAGAAGGAAAAAATATAAAAAAACACCAGAACCAAGCTTTTTTTGTGATAATAAAAGCTGAACGCTTGATTCATCACTTTATGTAGAATTACACAACTTGTTAAAAAAAAGCAATTGGTGCGCAGTTTATTTTGTTGTTGTTTTTCTTCGTCGTCGACATCGTCGTCGTCGTCTTGTTTTTTTCTTCCTTTTTTATCGTATATTTTTTTTTTATTCGTGCATTAAATCAATATAGAATTAATTTTGTTTTACTACATATTCTCTTTTCTTCAAACACACATTAACAAGAATCAGATATTTTTATTATAATAATTCTAAAATAGGTATACATATGATACCAATATCTATCAACTGTATTTCAGATTAACATAGTAAGATCTGTAATTACTATCCATCGTATATCTAAATTAAAACATCGATAGAAACTTCTCGTAGCAAATAGATTGATCGAGAAGCTATAATGTAAAATATTGTTTTTTTTTTCTGTCGAATTGCGCAAGTTTTTTCTTATTGTCTATATTACTCATTTTAGTCTTGTTCGTTCTGTATTTGCTAGATTTTTTCCTTTTTTTTGGTCTCTTTCTCTACTACGCTAGCAATTCTTTTATTCAAATGGCGTCGTCATTAATCGAAGAGAAAAAGGAAAGGATGAATAGAACAAGATGAAAGCCGTCAATTCATCTTCTTATTCATCGCCATCTTTACCCAATATCATGATACCACAGTTTCAACAATTACTGCCGCTTGAAACATCCTTATCAGGTACGATATTTCAAAAAAAAAAACCAAAGACAAAAAACGTTAATAAGCTATACGCCTTTGCTATTTTTCTTTTTCTTGTTCTTTACAAACTCTATATGTTTACATAGGAAGTTGGTTGAATACCCAATGTACTTCAGAATTATTATCAACAACAAATAAACTATTATCACCGCCGATTTCCATTACACCATCATCAATTTGTACTGGTTAGAAATATTTGAATTATCGATTATTATTTTTATTGATTTATTTTTTCTTTGACTTAGATTTATCTGAAACTGAATATCAACCAGTTGGTCTTTCATCAACACGTAAATATTCACTTTCATCACCACCATTATCAAATATTAAAAGTGAATCAATTGATTTAACTGATTGTACATCTCCATATTCCAAACAAGACTCAACCATGATTATTTCTACTCATGATAAGAATTTTTTCGACAAATCAAAATCATCTTATAAAATACCAAAACAATGTTCAAATTTTAGCATAGAATATCTTTTATCACCTTCATTTCGATCAACAACATATGAATTGTTAAGATTACCCCACAAGCAAGTTAATAGTATATTTACAAAGAAAAAAATGAAGCACTTTTCTGATAATTATCTTCATCGTATAATTCCTCCTAGAAAACAACATAAACAAGATAAAAAACCTTATTTATTTAAATATTCTAATCAACCTCGAGGAATATTTATTCGCTATATATTTGATTTATGTAATGATTTAATTAATCAACGAAATCAGTTAAAAAATCGAAAAATCTTTTTTACTATTGATGCTCTTGAACAATTAGCTGATATTGCTTGTAAACTCGATACACGTGATAAAAAATCTCTATTAAATGAAAAAATATTAACATCAAAAAATTATGAATTATTATTAAAAGAATGTCATTTATTAATAAAACAAATTCATCAAAAATATCAACATAAAAAAATTCCAAAACGTCTTTATTTTAATCCAAAAGCAAATTTTAAAAATAGATTTCTTCAATTTTCATTATCTATTTTGAATATTTTACAAATGGAAAAGAATATCTTATTATATGGTTCACATCATTCTGATTGTCATATTTTAACGTCAGATATTCAGAAAAATCCAATTGACAAAAAAAGAACAAAAAATCAAATTAAACAATCTATTTGTCTTCATTTAAAATCCGATCAAATTACATCAAATTTTGAAATACTTATACCAAATAATGGTCTTATATATGAAGCTAATATACAACGAATTGATAATTATGATGATTTACTACTTGTACGATTATATCATGAAAGACAAACTTATTTAATACCAATGCATGATTTATGTCGTTTGGCATGTCCAAAAATGATACCAGAAGATTTTAATATTTTATCAAAAGGTTCACGTGTTTGTGCATATTGGAGTACTAGTTTACGTGGTCTTCATCCAGCAATTGTTAAAAAAATACCATCAGAGATGGATAAACCTTCCATGGTAGGTCTGTTATTTGATGATGGTGATACGGGATTAATTAAACTTGATGAAATACGTTTATTACCTGATAATTATGATGTTAAAGGTATGTTGAAAGAATTCTTTTAGTTTCTGATAATGCAAGAAGGCCAAAGAATTTAAAAGGAATTCAAAATTCATTTCAAGTGTTTATTAGAGATGTGTAGAGCTATCTTATCTTGCAACAGGGCTCTTGATATTTTCTAGAAGTGAGAGAGAGAGAGTTGATTGGAAAGTTGATAAAAAGTGCTTTTATTTTCTCAGTGCTAGAAGTAGTGACTCGGAAGGTAGAAAAAAACCACGGTTAGTGTTTGTAAAAAAAATTGAGAAAATCTTCATTACGGTGTTCCGCAAATTTTTTGTGACAATTCGCAAAATAATAATTTTCAATCTTTACAAACCGATTCATAAATCTAATATCTAGGATTTCATCATCTAATTTTTTTTATATTAAACTACATTCTTTCTATGAAGAGAAAAAAAGCGTGGCAAAGTATTTATTCTACTAGCTATCTGATTAAAAGATACAACAGGTTAAAAATAGTCAATTACACAAAATAAATTGGCCTGAAAATATTACATGGCTTGGAAACCGTAAAATTACTTTGTGATGTATTCAAGATATTTTTCGATTTATTTGAAATCAAATGATGATGATAATTTGAACTTATTATAATCAGTTTCTGAAACTTTAATGACCGTCATGATTGAATTCAAAAAAAAATTCCTTTTTTATCCATGTATAGTTCTCTTTGCTATTGTCATATTACTTGTAGGTGTTAATTTGGAAGAATGGCGTGTTTCTTCTTCTCAAATTCCCTCAACTTTACCAACTAGTCGTCAAACTTCACGTCGTGTGTTATCAACTGCATCTATTAATACAAATTCTTCGGCAAAAAAAGTCAAAAAAGAAAAAATTGTTTCTTCATCTTCAGTAATAGTTCCTCAATGGACATTAAACACTCGCAATTCAACGATACGTCGTCATGACAATAAACAAGTTCTTCGTATTGGTGATTGTATTATACTTCATGGTGTTGATCAATCACTGTCATACATTGGCAAGGTGCTTAAATTCTATCGGAACAAATCAACTCAACAAGATTTGGTCAGATTACAATGGTATTATAGTCCACAAGAAACTTCAATAGGTCTTCATGAAAATGATTTACCTGTAAGTATACAAATATATATTAATACCAAATTTCTTATCTAATTGTTTTATTTTTTTTTTCATGTCAAGGGTGCTCTATATGAGAGTACACATATTGATGAAAATCCGATAGCAACTATACGATATAAAGGTACTATTTATGGATCGTATGACGACTATGTGAAGAAAACGGATTTTGGAAAAAAACGACAAGAGACAGATTTTTATCTTGTTGGTCGGTATAATCCGACATCAGGTAAACTAGAACGGTACGATGATAAATAATGCAAGAAAAAAAAACAAATTTATAAAAAAATGTTACTTTTCGGTTATATAAAGCAATATATAATATTTGTATCTTGTTTAACAGTGATATCAATGATTTTATTTCAATTTGTCTTCTCCAGTGTTTATGTATATATACATATATATATAACCGGTGTTTAACAATCAAGAGCCTTATTTAAGTCATAATTATGTTATATGTCTGTATGTGTTTGTTTGCTTTTATTGATGCCTTTTGCAAGAACGAAATAAAAGATTATTGGAAAGCAAATATCATTCCAGATTATCTTAGTTTTCAATTGTAGAAATTTTTTCATTTTATGAAATAAATAAGTAATGATCAGAAAAAAATTATATAATAAACTTGTTTGAAAATAAGAGTTTTCAGAAAAGTTAGCACGATGTGTCTGATTTTTCAATAACTTATAAAAAATACTCTATTTTAAAAATATATAACGAAGATTTATCAAATATTCTTTACACTGTTCTTTACTTTTTACTAGAACGAAAAAAATCGGAACATTCATTATGATAGAAACTAATTTTGATGAAAACGTCTTAATCTGATTCTGTTTAAATTTTGCAAGTAAAAGACTATTTTTATGAGAAAAACTTCTTTAGAGATATCTTCGTTTATGTACTTTTATAGATGTGGATTGAAGTCTTACTCTTTTCACTTGAAACAAAAGAGCTTTTACAAAAAAGGATTTGTTCACTTTTGTAGTGTTTTCTCTAGTTATGTGTCTCGAAAAAAATAACTATTTTTTTTCTCTATTTGAATGTCATTTATATTATCATAAATAATCAGTCAACTTCTGAAAAAACAAAAACAAAACAAGAAAAGGTATCAATATTAATAAAACAAACGAAAATCTCTTCGTTGATAAAGTTCCATTACAAAAATCAGTGTCACAAAAACAAAATTTTTTAACTTTTTCTCTCATTTTAACATCACGACATCCATTAGCAGCGTTTAATCCAATCATACTAGCTTTTGTTAAATCATCACTTGTAAAACAACGTCGATCTGTATCAGGTATTTCATCAACCATTCGTATAGCTTTTTCTCGTTCAGCTTTTGTTTTTGGTTCAATAACTTCGTATGACATCCAACATTTTCCATCACATGGTTCAGCTGAATGTTGAGTAAAATCAAAATGACGAAGACATGCAAATTTACGTGATTCAGCAAATCTTTCTTGATCAGATTTTAATGAATCACAACGCCAACATTGTAATGGAGTTTGACCAAAACCACCGAATTGACTATTGATTACAATTGTTTGTGTCACAATCACAACGATGAACAAAGAAACCACAACCATTGTATTTTTCAATACAGAATGTATACTAACAAGAATGACAACAAACGTTTGTTGAGGATTAATCATTATTCATGTCCGTAAGAAAGAAAAGAATGTTTACCTTGTGACAAACGAAGATGTTCTTTTATTTGATCTAGACGATGAATAAAATAGTGTCCTACTTGGTTTATAAGATTTTATTGGTTTGAATAAATATAAATGTCGATAGTCAATAAACGACTTTTATTTCTTTTATTGATAATATATTAATTCTTTTTATTCTGATTTTTGTTTCTTGAACTTGATAATAGTGAAAATCTGAATAATACAATATAAGGCACAATCAAGAAGAAAAGAACAACAAGAAAATGTGTTTATTTAATGTAAAAACGATGTGAATTAATGACAATTCAAAGAAGTACTTGTAATCCAACACCCCATTTGAATTTATGCATAGACCAGGAATATAAACCGAATGTTTGTAAAACAAATGGAAAATAACGAATTTGATGTGTTAAAGCAAGACCTAATTCGTGTTGAGTGTTAACTAAAGTGTTCACTCGTAAACCTATTTTATTTAGATGCCACTGAGACATCAAACTAAATTTAATCGGTTGTTGTACATGATAATTTCTCTTTTTTTCAGCAAGAAAACCTATGGTAAAATTAGTATTAATACAACGTTGAATACCAATTAAATAGTGTTCCAATGGATCATATAAGTTACACTTAAATATAATTGAGTCTGAAGAATGCTTCAGACGAAGACCAATATCGGCTAGTTTTTCTTGAGAAGTTATCTAAATGGAAAAAAACACAATGAATATTTGACTCATTATAATTCTATTCAAGTTTTGTTTTTCTTTACTCTAACATTAATACCACCATCGATTTGATAATTAACTCGTTGACATAGACATGATAAATAACTAAATTGAATACTCAATATATGTCCTGTTCCATATTCACCAATCAATTCATATGTTTCATTAGGACGTCGATACTCTACATATGACCAAAATCGTTGTTGTGGTATTGTTTCAAAACGAATTGTTGTTGTCAGAGATGGTGTCCACCAATGACTGACACTAAACATTAAGTTTTTATTAGGTGTATGAAATTTAATAATACACATAGGTATATTTTCTTGTTGAACATTATTTAGTACTATGCTTGCTTGATTTCCACCGATTAAACTATAGAATGTTATATTTTTCAATATATCTATTTTAAATTTTTCTAAACTTCGTTGATCTATATGCATATTAAAACCAATACTTATTTCAGGTAGGCGTAATAGAGAAGTTAAATGATATGTACTCAAACCGAGTGTAAGTGCCGTTTGACGAAATAAACCATTAATAATATTAAAAAAATTTAGTTAGTTCATCAAATCGACCAATATTATTTTGCATAGTGTTAGGTATGCATGAGTTATGAATGACATTATTCATAATTGAACGAAGACGAAGTTCACTATCTAGTACATGTACTATTTTCTTGATTGTTATCTTACGATCATGACAGATATTTCGTAATACTGATGAAGAACAAGTGTTAGAAGAACAATTATCAATACACATTTTCTATTTTAATTGTATACAATGAATATGATGTACATAATAAAATACGGTTAATATCTGCACTAAACCGCGAAAGTACTAAGCAAATTTAATTTAATTTACAATATCATACTTTATTTTTTTTCTTTTGTGACAAATAAGCAATTGCTGTCTTTCAAATAAGTTTCTTCAAATGATAAGAAAGCATATTTCAAGCATGTTAAACAACAATTATAATATAGAATCGAATTTTTATATATTTATTGATTCCTTTGAATAACTAACTAGAATGTATTATTATGTAGAAGAAATATATTTTTGTGAAAATGATAGAAGCAAATAATTTATTATCGAGAATATTAAAGCACGACAATCATTGCTGACAAAAGTTCTTTCTAATAACCAGAACAGTTATTTGGATGAAATGTACCGTTACAGAAGCACGCATATGGTTGTTTTAAATCATTGGTAAGTATACAATAGCCAGGTCTACAATCCAATGTACATTCTAAAATACAACAATGATAGAGACTAATAACACATGACAAATAAATGTACCTTGTGATTGATTGATTGTTTCACAATTTTTACCACTAAAATTACTGGGACAAACGCATGTATATGAATTCTCATGTTGTAAGCAAGTACCACTGTTCAAACAAGGATTTGATTCGCATCGATTAAATTCACTTAAAACTTCTTCACAATAATATCCTGTAGTTTTAGAAGGACAAATACATCCTATATGATCTTGTTTGATTGTATAGCAGGTGCCTCCATGATAACAGGGCGAAAATCTACATAAATCGAATGTTTGATTTAATTCACAGTAATATCCTGTCGTTGCTGGAGAACATACACAACGGAAAGTGTCATTAACAGTAACACAGCTACCATTATTGAGACAAGGCGAATTTGCACATGGATTGTATACTATTTCTTCTTCACAGAAGCGTCCTGTTCTGTCATATCCACAATAACAGTAAAAATCAGTATTATTATTCACACCAAAACAATGGGCATTATTGAGGCAAGGACCCGAAGCGCATGGATGGGAAACACTATACTTCTCACAAAACTCTCCTGTTCGATCTGCTGAACATAAACATCTAAAAGTACCATTATTTGGAACACAGATACCATCAGAATAACAAGGCGATGATACACATGGATTTAGTGGTAATCTATCTTCACAATAACGTCCAGTAGTTCCAGTAGGACAATAACAATAAGACGCATTACCAGATGTGTAGCACGTGCCATTATTGAAACAGCTGGTAAAACTGCATTGATCTAATGTTGCTTGATTTGTTTCGCATTGATATCCAGTAAACTGAGAAGTACATAAGCACTCAAAAGTATTATTCTTCATAATACAAGTACCACCATTTAAACAGGGCATTGAGTCGCATAGCTTTGACGTCACTGTTTGTTCACAATAACGTCCTGTCGCAAATGGAGGACATTGACACAGAAAATCATTATTAAAAGGAACACAGATGCCATTATGTTGACAGGGTCCAAATTCACATATATGTGCTTAAATTAAAAACAACAAATAATAATACATCAGAAACAAAATCGATGCAAAATCTCTCACTAGTATTCCTGATTTCTTCTTTTACAGAATCATATGCATTAGTGACCATTGTTAGTAGCACTGCTACTATCAATAGAACTAACGATCGGTTCATATTGTATTGCATATTCTCAAAAAATTTATTTTTATTCTTCTGAATAGACACAAACCTATTTATCTATAGAAATCATTCAAGGACGCACAAAAAAGATTAGCAAGCTATTTTCTGTGTAATGCACTTTTTTTTCTTTTGAAATAATCATTTTCGATCAGTAAGTATCGTTTTCAAGTAGCATTCTAACGATCTCAAATTTCTTTATGTAATCCATCTTATTCTTTTCTTCTATTAAATTACTGCTATACTGAAGAGTAATAGAAGGTGTCATCAATAGAAAAAAAGCATTTTCTTGTCACTAAACAACGAATTAATAAGGCTGAGTTTCTAAGATTGTAGTTATTTCCAATATATTGAATGTATTAGCAATATCTGAACTTATTGGAATGCATGTATTTTTTCAGTTTGATGGACGTGCAAAACCAATTATGTGTTATATATATAACATTTTATGAATGATTGTTGTTTTAAATGTATATTTAAAAAAATTGTCAAAAAGAAACAACGATAACTCTCATCTTTTGAATTATTCATCGTATTAGTATGATGAAATCTTAGTAAGAAGTATTAAAAAACCTTAGTGTACAATAAAAACTTTCAATGAGCACGTACAAAATGACCATAAAATAATTTTATCGCTTAAATTATGTGTAGAAAATTATTGTTCGAATAATGGTGACCTTAAAATCGATTAATAGTGATCTAAGAATTAAACATAAATCATTTTTTTTCTTCATATCCACATCATATGACACTGTTGAATCTGGAAAGCAGGTCTTCAATCATAGATAAATGCAGCCAATACCAAACTATTTTTGTAAACTTGATAGTGCTCTGAATTAAGAGATCAGATAGAAAGGGAAAATGAAAAGAATAACTATACTACTCGTGTCAACAACCATGGTAAATCAAAGTTTTTAATTATACTGTATATCAAAATCTATATTTCAAACTAGAAACAATACACGAGATATTTTTCTTTCAAGTCAATATTACATTACTTTTTCATAAAGTTTAAACAGATTTTATTACTAAGAGATATAATTGATATATATGTCCATTAGTTAAGCTTTTTTAGTTTACATTTGATAATTTTTGCATAAATAAAAACGAGAAAATACAATGGCTAGGTGTACAGTTTAATGGACATTCTTTGAAGAAAAAAACAGAAATACTTAATGAATACATATAGTCACATAACCATATTTCGTACCATCACTAGTTACTGGTATAGTTGAATCACAATTTTTACTTGTGTAAATACTAGTTGTCCAACAAAAGCAGTAGTGCGGGTGTAATTGAAGAGAAAACAGCCACATCCCCACTCAAAACTCTAATAAACACTTAAAATAATTAGTTTTAGCCTTGACTAATGAAGTCACTATTATATAAAATCATGATTCATTTGATTCAGATATTGGAAATTTAGATCGAAGTCGGATGATTTTCAACAAGTTTCATTATGAAATAAATCATTTAAAACAAGTAATAAAAAATTAATTAATAAATATTTTCTTATTTGATCATACCAAGTTCTTAGTATTATCTTCGGTTGCAGATGTACTGCTATGTCTATAAGTAATTGACGAAGAACAAAGATTAAGAATCAAATCATTATTACGTTCTATTTGATATTTTTCATTTTGACAAACAGTATTCATAGTTGTAGTTTTATCAACATCTAAATTTAAAACAATTGAAATACACTATAGCAAGATAAAATATCTTCCACACTAATATCCGACGGGAGTTTATTATTTTTTTC